CCCAAAGACGTTGGAACAAGCGCAAATGTTGTTCAGCGGTGAACGCGTGGACGAAGTCGAGGAGGAGATGGAGGAGGAGGCAGAACCGGCCGAAATAGCGACTACGATTCTACCCGAGTTGGTGGTGTCGTTGGAGGCGAGCGACGATTTTCTGAAGGAAAGGATTATCCAACAACCCGAGAAACAGATACAGAGCACCCATTACACCGAGGAGCACATGATAAGACGTTTGAAGGAGTACAGGTGATGCGCGTTATCTTTCGTATCTCTTAATTAATTAACTAAGAGACGAATTTATCACAATGCTTTTCAGAATTCTCAGAATTACACGGGTGGAATTTAATTAGTTTAAGGTTGACGACGATGGAACGATTTGTTAGGACTTTTAGAATCTTTAGGTTTACGAGATTTTTTTCATAGAATTTAAACTATGAGGAAATGATTCGAATTATGCGGAAGTGATTCTGATTTTATGTTATGATTGTTAAAAAAATAAACGAGGGAATATGAGTTCATTTTAGAACGAGTGACAGGCGAGGTAATTAAATCTACGAATACAATGTAGTTAATATCTGTAATTTAAAAAAAAAAAAATGCAATATAATTTAAGCTAGTCAATGAATTTTTAAACGATCGAGAATGGAAATATTATTCACGCGACGTTTATCGTGGCACGTGTTTCGAATATCGATTAAACAACGCACAGCATACTTGTCACGAAATTTATAGCGATGCAATAAAAAATATTATCAAATCGATGACAAGAGACCGATTATTAACAATTTGTCGTTTATTCGAATATAAAAATTGATTGCAACCGCTCGTCTGTGTAATTTTTGACATTTTCATGAACATTTTCATCCAAATTGAATCGACATGATAATAAAGTATACAAAAATCGTTGTCGTTTCGTTACCCTAGGAAGAGAAACACGGACGAAAACACACCCTTGCAGTTTTTCGACGAGATTGAAATTCATCCGTTCATCCTGGACGTGGAGGAGGACAACTGTCCAGACATGTTCCCCACGGTTTATCAATGTTTCCAGAGAATCGGCCCACCGAGAAACTACGGTAAGAAATGGTGTTAGACGCTGTGAAATTCGTCGTTTATCACCTCTTTTCGTCGACGAGACGATTCTTCGTAAAAAGGAGAGACGGGTAACGTATATCGGGCTAACCTTTTTCTACACAGGATTTTTACGAGGATTTCGCACAATTTTTCTGTGCCTTTAGATGTATTAGCCCTGTTCCTTTTTTTTGCGTGCACAGAGTCGTTCATTCACCTGATGCAAGAGAAGGTGACACGTGTCTCGAGTTGAGTTGAAATTCAATAAAAAATACGGAGATTGTGTTAAATGTCGCGATGAAACCATGTGCAAAAACAATAGTTTTTGTACCTTATAAAGTATAGCATTGATATCAATTTCTCAATTTTCAAATAATAAATATTTTATTATGTATTCTCGTTGATTCAATTTTTACTTCGATCGAGCTAAAAGATTGATTAATTAAAATCATTTTCATTTTCGCATAATACAAATTATAACGCTTTTAAATTTTTATTTTTCAAGGATACATTAGGATAAATTTCTATCGTATTTCTATTCCATTAGGAATAAGCGCAGAGGAAGCGAGAAACGCGCGGAAACGCGCCGAGGTGGAAGCGCTTGAAGCGGAAGCCGCCGCAAAATTGCAAGAAAAGAAAGAATACTTGGAACTCAAGCGACTACGTGAGGAGAAAATGGAAGAATGGGTTGGTGTTTATTGTTTCGACTTAACAATAGTTGTATTCAATCGAAAATCGATTATTCAGATTGCGAAAAATCCAATTTTTCTTTAATAATTTTACAGCGGGGAATTTATTAAGCGAGTTGTTCCGTTATTAGTAAATTATCAAATTGTGATTGTAGGGAAACTCTAAGTCTTAAGAACGATAATTGGTAAATCATTGTCAGACATTTGATTGATGAAAATGATTGATATCGATTAGAATTTATATTTCTTAAAATAAGTGTCATCCTCATCCGGATTATCTGTAGAATATTTTAATAGTGTTGCATGCTTGACTCTGTACCTCTCAAACGTAATTAATCATGCTTTATCCAATGTGGATAGATAAAGATCAATTTGGAAGTTTCGATGGAACAGGTATTCAGTGTGCATAATCCGAAATTCCGAAACTCGAGTCGGGCAAAGTTTTATCTGACAAGTAACATTCCTATCGAAACTTGCGATCGATTAAAATTTCACTCGATGGCTTTGCTCCTAATTAAGAAAAACCAAAATCTTGATTGATTATCGATTTGCTTTTTTAAAATTTCTTACATTTAATGACAAAAATCTACAAATTTGATTATTCTATCGAAGAAATAATTAATCTATTTGCATTATATTGGTAGGAAACGATATGGATTTAAATATTTGGATAAATATACGCGTTGGAATTTTATATTTATTAGATATATTAATAAAATTAATCTGGATGGTTGGAGCTCGTTTAACAAGTTCAAGCATTTATTCGATCGATTAATTGAATCGAAAAAATTATTTTACCAATTCAAAATGAAGATGAAAATGATTCACGTTTGCATAGAAATAATTTGACATTCGCGAAACTAGTCAACCTTTGATTTATTTCGACATACGATGCAAATGAATTAATAAAAGAAATTCGTCACGGAAAGAAAACCGTGAAAACATGAAAATTGTTAAAAACATTCGCACAAAGGATTACATTCGACACGATTTTTCGCGTTCTTTGTTTCATTCTCATCTCTCTCCTCGCATATCTTTTTATCGCGAAAATAAAAAAGGAACTAAAAGAGCATAAGAAACCAGGAGCAGAATAACATTTTAATAACCTCGAATAAAAATGAGGAAAACAAAAAATCTGGATACAATAGATAGAATAGAATTGTTTATATCCATTCTTTGTCTTGTCTCGTTTTTTTGCAGTTTTGTATTAAGCAAACTGATAGGGATTATTGAGTTGCATTTTACACGATATGAAAATTGACTGTTGACCGATGGTTTCTTTCATATATGTCGTAATGATATCGTTTCAACATCGAAATGTCAAATGTTTTTTTTAATTTTATTTGTTCTAAACATCGTGGTAACGAGATTTGTCGCCACTCAATTCTACCATGAATTGGGATTTCTTTCATTTCGAGAATAACTTTCACTTTCGTGAAACATTTAATTTCATGAATAATATAATTTTTCTCTTAAAAATAATAATAATCCATCGAATAATAAATTTATTTAATTTATAAATCAAACCAATTCAATTTTACATATTCCTCCGGAGTTGAAAAATCATTATCTTGAAAGTATTTATTAGAAATTGCTTTTTTTTTTGAAATTATTGCTTTTCAAAGAAATAGGAAAGAATGTATAGAAAGTATTTAAAATAAATGAAAGTGTTTCAAATAGATACTTATCAATGAGTTGTATTAGTACAATTAAATCGAATAATAATTTATTTCATCATATTTATGAACTGTATTTTACTTTTCATCTTCGTAATTTTTTTGCAATTTGGCACGACGTATACATATATTTATAACATTTTTTGCACGACAAATCAACGAGCTTTTTGCATATATACACGCATAGTACATCTATTTATCTCAGTTTCGTGGATATACGTTATCGTTCCTCGACTCATGAAATTTTCAACATTCAAAAATTTACTTTTGCTCGTGATAAAGTGACTCGTGACATCAAATTTCTGAGCCTTACGAAAAAAACTCCATAAAGTCCATTTGTAATTCTAATTCAGTTTTTTTCTCGTTAAAATATTACGATAATAAATAGCCGTCCATTACGTAAAATTTAAACGAACATGTACTTTCTTTCTTTCATTCTTTTCTTTCTTTCTTCGTGTGAGAAGTTCTTTCCATAAGTATACGGTTAACCGCACGTTTTTTAATATTTCGATAACCCTTCTAAACGAAGTTTAATATCCTCGTAATATTCTTTAGATTAAATATTTTTTTTTACTATTTATCGTCAATAACTTCTTTATTGTATCGACAAAAAGATAAATTTTATTGGTTCTTAAATTATTAAAAATACGAGAAAATGGTTCACTTTTAAAGAGAAAAAGTCGAGAAAAAGTGGAATTTACTTTGATCATTAATTACAAGAAAGTGGAATATTGTTTTCGAACATATTTGGGGTAATGGTTAGTGGTTTGGCGAAGAGATATTTATCGTTAAAGTTTTCTAAAAATATCAGAGACGAATAATAATAAATAAAAGAGAAAATTGTTGAAGGAGATTCTTTTTTTGGTGTTGCTCTACGTAGTTTATTACCGTAATAAGAGTTGCACCATGTAAAATATGCAGTAAAAGTGTTATCGAAAACCTAAGTTTATTATCGCAAAAATATTTAAAAATTTATATCCTCTACGATATTAAAATCGTTTCATGGTAAATGGTTCTACTGAAAGTGTACAGTTGTTTTGTTTACGATATTAATCGATATCTAAATTTAACTAGTGTTTAAAATTCAAATTATTATTCCGCTTCTTTGTAATATTCTTTCTCTGATATTAAAAAAAAAAACTCTGGCATTGATATTAAATAAGTTCAAAGTCATCTCGAGCAAAATATTATTGCTGTGGTAATTAGTCTCGAACAAACAGCAATATCAGGTTAATAAAAAAAAAGAAAAAAGAAATTAAAAATATCATATCATATCAAAACGAATTAATAAAAAATTAAAAGTATTGTTCTTTATTTAAAAATATTTGCATCGTAATATATCTTTCATTCATATTATAATAATCATTCAAATCATATTCGTACCATTAATAATACAAACTTAGTCACGCATAAAAACAATAAAATTTCTATTCATCGTCAATTTTTAAATATATCACGAAGAATAATTTTCTTTTATGTTTTTTTAATAATAATTTTTTCTGATTAAATTCAGTCACATGCAATAAACAATAAAAATTTTTTATCACAAATTACGATTTTTAAATTAACTTATCACGAAGAATAATTTCCCCTTGAAGAATAAAAATCTCTTCTTATCCGTAGACGAATCTGATGGAAAAACTGACAGAGGAACATGAAGAGAAACTCTGCCTGGCTAGCCTTCCTTTGCGCAACTATTTGATGAAATACGTGTTGCCAACCTTGACGCAAGGACTCATCGAAGTTGCAAATTTGCGTCCAGACGACCCGGTTGATTTTCTCGTAAGTCGAAAAAGCAATCCACCTTACCGCTTAAGAACGCGTTTGATACCGCGGAAATTAGCTACGAAACTTTTCCTCCCTCCTTCGTCCTTTTCTTAACGTGACTTCGTTTCCCTCTTGTTGAGTTTGAAGTTTAAAAAAAAAATATATAAAAGAATGTTATATTCATAATAAAATTTTTAATCTAACGAGATTAAAAAATTTAAAGATTATTAATTTAAATTTTATTTTATTTCCTTTCTTTTTTCTCTTTCGATGATTTAAATAAAAGTATATATTTTTCTTTCATTACATGAAAATTTACAATGAATTTATCTGAAAGTCAACATTTTTTTTAAAATAATTTCATCAATTTTTCTTACCTCTTTTTAAGACTCTATTATCTAATGAAAATTTCACGTTGAAATTTAGATCAATATTGAAAGTTTTTCCATAAAGTGCATTCTATATTGGTTTCGTATCAATTTTATAAAATCTATCTCCTATATTTCATTATCGTATAATTTATATAGAATAATATATATATATATATAGAATAAATAATGGAAAAAAAAATGAAAAAAATTGGAATTTGTAGATCAGTGTCACTTTAAAAAAAATACGTAGTTTGAATTTTATTATTTATCAAATGCGCAGATATTTTTAACAAGATTTTACAACGTGTTAACGAGGTGATAACAATGTTAAAACTCACTCGTCGCTCGAGTATGTAATAAAACAGTTTCCGTTTTGTTGGATTTATCACGAATATTTCGAAATAATAAACGATCATTTCAAGTATCGAATCTATATATATATTAATCGTGTATTGGATTAAATTGAACATTTTTTTTTTTTTTTTTTGCAACGATTCGCTCTGGATAAACCGAGATGCTATCCAGAAGGGAAACATTTTGTTTTAAAAAGGCGAGATCTTACGCCATAGTTATTTCATTTAAAAACAACTGTCGTTAAGTTGTTGACTTACCTTAATCGAATTATCTTCTCCACAATTTCGCTTGAATTTTTCATTCATTTGTAATTTTCCTCCTCGACAATTTTCCGTCAATTCTAGTGACTGGTATTTATCCTTTCAAGAAATTTGAAAATCTTATTAACCGCAAAGCAATTTTATTTAAAAATGAAATGTTTATTTTGTTACCGTGTTTTGTACCATAATTAATAATATTTTTAATGAAACACAAGAAAAATACGAAAAAACGAGCATCGAAATATTATAAAAACTAGCAGTACAACTACTTCCAATTACACGAAATATTATAAAAAAATTCTCCAATCGATTCAACGACGACGAATACATTAAAGATTAAAGCTAAATCGTCATTTAGTTTCGATTTTAAGTCGTAAGCAAGCTTCATCTCGACCACGAACGACTCGATTCAAAGAAAGAATTATCCAGATAAAAAATTCAATAACGATAGATAACGTAGCAATAACAAACAAAACACTCTGTTTTGTATAAATCCATTACAAATCCATCGACGATAAATCGAAGAAATCCCGCCGTCAAACCCATCATCCCTCTCCCTCCCAATACAACAATAACTCGCAGCAACCACGACCCCAATGATTGACGTATCGACGTTTCTTGATCCGCTTCTTACGATTAGCCAACGATCCACGTGGAGCGTGACGGATTAATTCTGACGGTCGATCACCCTTCATGCAATCCTCCCTTTCCCCCTCTCTTTAATTCGCTCGTACGAAGGACGTTCGAGAAACGGCGAACTCGAGGTCGAAACACGAGGCATATCCGTCTGCATCACGAGACACATCGATCCGCTCCATTCCTTTATGTAAGGTGAACGAGACGGTCTAAGGGGAAGGAAGAGCGAAATAACGGCGAGGTAAATTTCTATTACGCTCGGTGGCCCCAGTCCCGGCGGGCCTTCCACCATTCGTATCTCGCGTTTTCGCTCGCGACCTTCCAACGTCCCTCGTTCAAGGGTCGCTTCGTGTATCGGCTGTTTCGTTACGCGAACCGTTACGCCGCTATAAGTTGTGCGTTTTACGACTAACGCCATCCTCGAGCAACCATCCACAACCTTTCTCTTTCCCCTCGAATCTCGGCGATCTTTGAAAAGGTTATCTCGTAGGGAGACTTTCTGGCAGACTTTTTTAGGTTTTAGAGTGGTTTGTCGGGTTGTATTGCAATGATTCAGTGGGATCTAGCGTAGGTCAAGATTGGAAAATTATCGTTATTGGATTGCGTGAGGGGTGGTTCGTGATTAGAGTTTACGTTCTTCGAGCAGATGATATTTTTCAAAGAGGAAAGGATAAATTGATTAAAAGTTGATAGAATTGAGAGATCTCTACGTGTTACTCTCGTCACGCGATCGAATTATATTACGTGTTTTTATTTTCTAAATTTTTAAATGTATAAATATCGAATAACAAGAGAATGAATACTCGTAATTAACCAAAACTGAGCAAATAACAGAAAGGATTCAAAATTCAAGTTCGAGGCAAGAAGTGAATGGTATAATTGAAAATGAACATTTGTTGCAACCCGTCGAGGCCTCGATAGATCGGAAATAGGCGTAGAAACGAGCCAATGCCTTTTTATAAAATGGAATCCAAACAAGAATTTACTCAATTGCGGGTCTTCGAAGCTTTTTCAATCTTCTTCAAGCGATATTATATGTTGACTCGATACGTTCATCGTCGTAATGCGAGCAGGAACTCACCACTGATTTTATTCGTTTTCTAGAAAACGTTTCTTCGTATTTTCCTTCTGAAAGAAGAATTTCATACATCACGTAGCGTGAATTGATACATCATATTGAAATATCAATTTGTTCTTTTAAACGCGATCAAGTGGTAATAAATTGACAAATGTGTCTTTTAGAAAAATGGTACGAAATTAATCGGGAAAACGGATTTGATCAATTTTATCCATTTTATATCTTTTCCGTATATATTCTATGCGTAAAAGTAAAATTTCGAGAATAAGAAAAGAAAAATTATATCTATACAATTTCTTTTGAGCATCATCTTATCAATTCTATTCCTTATACAAGTCGTGAAACGTTTAACATAAGTTTTATATCGTTGTTCCATCAACTTCTTAATTGAATAATTAAATTGTACATTAGTGCTCGCAAGTGCAAAGTTCAAAACTGTAAAATCTGAAGTTATGTTCCTAAAGTTGCTTTAAAAGGATCATTATAGTGTTGTTATATTACTCTTTTCCTTATATTTTTAAATTTGTTTCCACCCAAGAAATCTTCATTCCAACGATCGTAATTTGCAATAGCCACTTGATTCCTTTTAACTTTGACGGCCAGCAAAGCGCAATGAATCCTAATTACCACTTAAATTCTAATTCCTTCAAATATTGACTGATCTATGATATTACAGTGCTAAGAGTTTAACTGGCTAAATTTCCTTAATTAGTCCTTGAGATTAATTATTTTTCGTAATGCTAGTATATATTTTCTTGAAAGAAAATCCGATTGTCTCGCGTTTTAATTAAATTTCTATATTATCCCTTAATAATGATACATTAGCACCACCATTATTATCCACCATTATTCAAATATAACATCTATCTACCATACAAATATTATTCCTCTATTGTTCTACTATTCAAATAGAATATATCCTTAATAATATTAATATGAAATTGGAATTAAATATATATCAAAATTTTATCTGGATTAAAATCTGTAACGAAGAAGTATACTCTGATTAATCCTTAACGAAACGAAAAACACTTTTCAAAATGATAATACACAGAATATCATAGCAAATATACAATATTAATATTACGAAAACGAAAGCTACGTAACAAACCAATTACTTTATAATCCAAAAATGTTTTAAGAAACAAAAGAGAGTCGCAACAATTCTTTTCTACGTCACCGAATATCATCCGATGCCATCGACATTTCTGGACAATCCAATACTTGCAATACTATAAAACTCCCCATCGTGGTAAATCATAATAAACTCTCGCAATATCGCGCGATTATTCACGAAATGCGAACACCTGGGACGCAAAATCCACGATCCTCTCCAGTGTTATTACATTTAACGTTGGCGTGGCTGTAACGATCGCGAAAACTTTCACCGTTATCGTGAAATTCCACGCGGCAGAGCGTACGTTGAACCTCTCGTGCTCACGTGTAACCTCTCTCCTCGATTCGTTTCGATACTTTTAAGCTCTCCGCCCTTATTTCTCTTTCTCTTTCCAACTTTTTTTTATACGGACGAATATAAGAGAGGTTTTTAAATCGATCAAGTGGATAAAAAAGATATGGAAGAAATATTTCTTTACTTTTCTTTTTGGACTTCTGGTGCTTGGTAAAGCAATTGAGATATGATACAGGATGTTGCTGTGGTTTCGGTCAGAATAAATTGAGACAAGTATTGGGACAACTTTAGGTAATTTTTAATTGCCTATATAAATAAATAATGTGAAATAATATATAAGAAAGAATAATTGGGAATGTTATATTGAGTGTTAATTTTTGGAAAGCTGAAACATACGTCGATTGGTATATAAAAGTATCAGTTGACGAAGATGAAATGAATCGTCTTCAAAACAAATTTCAATTATTTCCAACATATTATAGATCAATAGTTTTGACCCAATGATCAGATACATCTCCATATAAATACTTTATTGTCGATAATAAAAACCCGAGAATTCTTGCCTGCATCAGCATAAAAAGTATGAGAATTATTGATCCATCCAACCGATAAATAAATTTCAATTTTTTCAAGTTTTATATACGTTTTTGGAGTTAATCTTCCAGGAATATTCTACGAATATATTAACACTACGTGTTGATTTGACCCTGACTCTGTTCATATTGACAGATGAAGATAGGGAATACATTTGAGAATGAAACTTTCGCAATTTGCTCCGCAAGGATAGTAGTTTTCGCGAGTGGATATTGTGTCGAGAGTAACCGACACAGTAAAGTTATGGTAAAACTAGTATTAGCCAGCTGAAATTATTGCACAAGTAATAATAATATTGCATTATTGTAACT